TATATATATATATATATATATATATATATATATAGTGGTTAACAAATAATGCGGCCAAAAATTCTTTTTTATCGTTACTTCTTACTTCATTACTTCTGTGAGCAAACTGATTTCCTGGTTTCCCCCATCGCCCAACCAAAGCAGTGGCTAAGTTATCGTTTCACGCAAATATTATGAAGATGGATACTATGTTTTACATGAATTACTTTGAAGATTTGGAGTATGTATTGAGTAATTGCAGCTTGTCTAGTGCGAGAAGTCGCGATGAAAGACCACTGTGGGCTTAAAGAGAGAATTAAATGCTTTGGAAAGAAGTTCTAAGATGGGGTCCCATATGTGGCATTTTGTAGCATTACCTTTCTAAAGTGCTGCCTGTTGTGATTTGTTGTGTATTGCGTCCATTACCCGCTTAGTCTTGTTCATCATAATCCTACCCGTCCCCTTCTCGTTTGCTCTTACAAAAAGCTGAATATCTTTCAATTAATTCCTAACGTCCTCGTTATTTCTCTTCCAGAATAGTGGTGCGATATTTTGGTCAGGGGCTTTGAGCTGTCTACCAAAGTATCTTAAGTCCGTTTTTTTCGGAACCAATTGTCAGTAAGAAAAGATGTATAGTTAGGGTCGTTATCGAACTACAGGGTTCACATTATTCCAAGCTTTTTGCCTTCGAAGAAGAAGAGCGCGATTACGGCTACTCTGACACTGCTGGAAGTTCAGGTTGTCCCTTTTTCTGGAACTGCAAGCCGAACCTCTGTGTTCTGTCGCCCTTAAATGGTTAATAAACATCCACCGTGTTTAACAGGACTTACTGGACACCTAGGGTTAAAGTTCACGTTCAACCTTTCATCACTATTCCTTAAATTAAACTTGGTCTTAGATTTTCCCTTTCGGGAACATCTAGTTTTCATCAGGGCCGTAGTTAACAGGTGCTTTTAGAAACTGTAAAAGCTGTTTACGATTTCTGAAAAAAAATGGGCGGCTTTGTTCCAGTATCATGTCATAAGAAACTGAGGTAACCTCTTTATTTTTTAAAAATTCATTGCGCTACTCATCTGACTTCTTACCTTAAGTTAAATGCCTAGAGCAGTCTAATCTGTGTTTGATTCCTACAGTCAGTGGATCAGTAGAACGATTCAGGATAGCGTTGTCCTCTTCTTTACTTTTTCGTCTTTCTTCGAGTACCTGCTAAAATCCAACTATAAGCATTCATGCTGGTCAACCAGATTTACTAGGAATTCTTGCAGAGCTGGAGAGTTGAAGGCCAGACCCTATCAGTCCACATATTTTTGTTTGTTGTTCGTCAATCGTCAAGATTTCTGGACGCTGATTTTACAAATTTTAAAAATAGTTCTGAAATTATTAAGTACAGAAATTAGGCTTCAAGTCAAAGAAAAAGAAAAAATGT